TGGGGGGGGTGAGGGTCTGTGCCCCACCTCTGTTGACCCCCAAGTTGTCTCCTGATGGCCCCTCTGCGACTGTGCCTGTCTTAGGTTGTTCCTTCCCTGAGGAATCTTACCCGTCTCTGGCTAACCAGCCATCCTCCAGGGCCAAGCAGGGTGATGTGAGGTATGTGAATGAGGGAGGGGCAGCGCCCCCCTGCAAGAGGTTCAGTTCTGTCTCCTTGGTAGCCTATGCCCCTGTGGCCTCCACGCCTGGCACCTGCCTTGGGATCCCCTCCCCTGCTGGCGGGGCCCCGGCTCTGGTCACATCTCTTGGGGAACCCAGGTTTCTTCTCCAGGGAGGGCCCAGCTCACACCATTGGGCAAGAGACAGATCCATGGCACCGGCCACCACAAGGCCTCAACTTCAGCGTGAACAGAAAGCCCAGGCAACAGCTGTGGGCAAATGGACTGTGAGAAGGGGGTCCCTCTTGACACAAGGGCAAGAGGGGCCAATACTGGACAAAGGAGAGTCCCGGGACATGGCTTTCTCAGCCCAGGATGTCAGGCTCTTGGCACAAGACAACTCCACGTATGGGGCATATACCAAACACCCCCAGTCACAGCGTGCTCTCAGAATTAAGAAAGACCTTGAAATCCCAGCAGGTCCTGGGCTCAGTTATCCTTTTCTGCTTACAGAGAAGCTGCAGCCAGGGCTACTTCCGTGACAGGGTGGGCGATTCCATGGAGCTGCATCTTTGCAAGTTTCTGCTGTTCACACTCTGTGACCAAATGGTTCAACTCTGCCGCACTGTATCCAACAAGAGTCTTCAAGTCACAGACAAACTTGTACACAAATCTCTTGCCCTGAACTTTACAAATCATGTGTCCATCATAATAATACCTTAATGCACTGAGTTTCTTCTCATAGTTCATTGTAGGTTTATTTTTACATTGTCCCCATTTTTGTGCAACCAGTTCAGGCTGATTTAGTTTAAACTCGCCTTTATCACCAACCGAAGAAATGCAGTCTCGAGCATCCTTGTCAGTAAGAAGTTCTAGCAAAAACTGCCACAGTTGAATTTGGCCATTGTTTCCTGTTCTGTTCCCAGGTGAACTTCTATCTTCTCCTGAAATCCTTGGAGCTCTTTGTCCTTTAGCTGCCTTTGCACTGCTGTTTATACCTTTAATGGTAGTTGGTGTTGCAGACTGAACTGATGCTGGAATAATTTGGACAGGTTTATCAATTGTAACTATCTCATTCATCTGTTGTTCCTGGCTTGCCAATACATATTTTCGAAGAAGCTCCAGATGACTCCACAGAATTTCTCCCCGAGGGACCCACTGAAAAAAATCTTCTTGGTTGAGACTACATAATTCTTGTCCTGAAATGTTGAGTGTGCTGAGGTCTATATCAGTCATGCTGAATTCCTTCATGATCCAAACTACCCAATGCAAGACTTGGTCTGTAGACCACTGTATAGGATCATATGGTATCCCAAGGCGTTCTTGCTCTTTCCTATAACCTTCTAGTGCAGCAGCCCATCTTGTCACTTGTTCTGAGGTTTCATCTGAAATGGTTGTAATGTGTTTTGTGCCATCAAGAGTTATCACTTGAGCTTCTTCAACAAGATGTGCTTCTGCTTCAGCATGATGAGCATCTGGATCAATGACTACTTCAACTGTTTCCGCAGGTTTAACAATTTCAAGGATGTTGAGCTTTGGTTCAATTCCTTGGTAAGAAATTACCTGTACACTAAGTTGTACAGTTCCATCTGTCTTTACTCCTTGGTCAAATAAACTTCGTTCTGGATCCAGATGAATATCTTGTAGACAAATGTCATGAGCATCCAAAGAACACTGTAGTCTTGGTTCTAGTAGTTTCTTTGAATTGCCTATTGGCTCATTGATGTCTATGGCTTGGCTTACACATTCAGCTGGGGTATAGGTCTGTTCTACAATGCTTTCTTCTGTGCATTCTGTTTTCTCTGTTCCATCAATATAAATTTCTATCAGCTCCTCTGCTTCTCTTTTTGTCATTGTTGAAGTACTTCAAAAGATCAGTCCCTCCACTTCCTCCCGTTTGCCTTCTGCCTCACCTAGAGTCATCCGGTCCAACCCCAGCAGGTCCAGGGGTCCCCAAAGGTGTGGACGGAGTCGGCAAAGAAGGAATGACACAGAGACAGCGTTCAGTTGATCAGCAGCCTAGCTAGGATCTCCAGCCAAGTTCTGTCTTTTATTGTCTTGTTACATCTGTATTTATACCAGTTGATTTTAATCCTCCCAATTTCTATTCCAAAGGGTAGGGCATTTCTTGTCTCCATTCCAGGGAGTAAAGATTATGTAGCTTAAGGGTGATAGTTCGTAGTTAAAGTGCTTAACTACCCACCTGGCATTTAGTTAAGGGGTTTTATTCCCTCCCTAACTTCAGGGAAAAATCCCTACCTGGGGAAACAACCTTTCTCGGGGAGGTGACCTTGGTTAAAACACATAGCACTAAGAAGGTGAACAAACATATTAAGAATAGTATGCCATATATGCCAGGTCCCTTGAAACATATGCTGTGCAGATGTTTCTTCCCTGCTGCGACTGTGTCAAGCAGCAAGGATGGACCGGCTTCCGGCAAGCTATCAACCACAGATACTTTGTAACCCCTACCAAGTGGCCCCAGGTCCAGGCAATGGCTGACCTTGGCCTGCAAGAGCCCCTTCTAAGAGGCCCCCAAGCCAACACACCAAGTAGTAGGCTTCAGGCCAAAATAAAGCAACACTTGATTAGTATCACAAATGGCCCATTGAAAGAGTGATCTCAGCAGGCATGAGAGAGCCTGACTGGGGCAAATCCCACCCCCTAGGGTTATGGTAGTCCTCACAGCCAGTCAACCTGAGGGTCAACCCCACCCAGTAAAGTGCCAACAGCAATCAAGATTCAACTACAACGTAAGGGCACACACAACCTACAGAAGGGACACTCCTAAAGCACCTGATTCAAGTGACCAAGGAGACTACCTTACTGTGCTACATAGGACACCTATTACATAAGGCCACCGTGCAAGATCAGGAGATGTGGCAAATCTACCTAATACATAGAAACAAACAGAGAGGCAACCAAAATGAGGAGACAAAGAAACATGACCCAACTGAAAGAGCAGAAGAAAACTCTAAGAAAAGAACTAAACAAAATAGAGGTAAGCAATCTACCAGATGCAGAGTTAGAAACACTGGTTATAAGGATGCTCAATGAACACTTAAAGGAAGACTACATCAACTCAGTGAGAACGTCAACAAAGATAGTAAACATAAAAAATCAGATAGGAAACATAAAAAAGAACCAGAAGAATATAATACCTGAAATAAAGAATCCTATATAATAAAATTGACCGAACGGCACACTGGCAGACGCTCAACACATAAGCTGGGCTCACAGCTAGCCTCTCCAGCCTCCGCAGTAGTGCTAAAGATGTCCAACTGACTGCTTGAGCCTAAGCCATCAGTTGGACATCCCCTGAGGGCTCCTGGACTGCAAGAGGGTGCAGGCTGGGCTAAGGGACCCCCCCCCCCCAGTGCACAAATCTTGTGCACCAGGCCTCTAGTACACTATAAGGAATCAACAGTAAATTAGATGAAGCAGAGGATCAAATCAGCAATTTGGAAGACAAGGTAGCAGAAAACACCCAATCAGAATAACAAAAAGAAAAAATTAAATGAAGACAGTTTAAGGTACCTCTGGGACAACATCAAGCATACCAACTTTCGCAACATAGGCGTACCACTATGAAAAGAGAGAGAGCAAGGGAAAACCTCCATAACCTGGCAAAGAATATAGACATACAAGTATAAGAAGCACAGAGAATCCCAAAGAAGATGATTCCAAAGAAGCTCACACTAAGACACATCTACACTAATAAAAGAGAAACATGGTAATTAGCGTACGACTGCTACCCTTCCCATTGGCTAATCAGCATATCCTTATGCAAATTAACTGCCAGCCAAGATGGCGGCCGGCAGCCATGCACTGAAGCGAAAAGGGAGGCTTGCTTGCTCCAGTGACTGCGGACTCCAACGTTCCC